TACATCTTTGTCACTTTTAGAGACCCTTATTTGATTGCCTTGCGTTCTGTGGCCCTGCCTGCGTACCCTCCCACTAAAGACTACAACAGAGGAGAGGTGCTCTGTGCTGGGTTCAGTATCTGGGAAGAGGAAAACACTTTCACTAAGGTAATAAATACACAGAAAGCCTAATGGACACTTATACTGAATGAGCAAATGAGTCGAAGTTCAAGAATTAACACGGCTTTAAACGTAGCAATCTCTTTAACTTAAATAATGTGCATGTACATTAGCCAATAACACTGTTTATAACTCATGTTTAGAAACTGCTTAGAGTGGTCCCTGGTGCTGTCATGTAGGTGTTAAAGTACTGAAGGTTAAGTGCGTTGGCTTACATGCTTATGTATGCATTTCTCTCAGATTTCTTACTACAACCAGGCCACTCCTGGCGTGCTGCCCTATATCTCCACTGACATCGCTGGGCATTCCTCCAGTTTCTACTGCACCTTTGCCTCATGTAGCGCTTTCCTGCAGGAGAATAAAGAGAGTCTGGCTTCCCTGCCCACCTCCACCCTATGAGAAAGCTGAATTCAACATTCTATGTTCTTCAGAAATTGATTTCATTTCTAAAAAAAAAAGATTAGGGTCAAGATATATAGGGTTGACACAGATATTCACATTTGAGTTTAGTATAAAAGATCACGAACTTTAGGTACGTAAAACTCTTATTGTCCATACACTCTCAGAAAATAAAGGCACAAAACTGTTACTGGTACCCGAAGATACAAAAGCTAAAAGGTACATCTTTGTACCATATTTACCTCTAAAATGGTACATATTAGTACCTTAAACGTACATATTAGTACATAAAGTGTACATTATTAGTACATTTTGAAGGTCTATTGGAGGCCCCAGTGACAGTTTTATACCTTTTTGAGTTTAGAAAAAGGTTATCAGGGGAGTCTCTTTTTTTGTATGTAATACAAAAAATATGTAATATATAAATATATAGAGAATTGTTTTGTTGTGTAGCCTTGATGAATATTAATATTATAATTAAAAAAAAGATAATTATTCTCTTTTTTAGATATTTCACCTTTTAGACTTTAAGCTAGAATTTAGGGTCATGTGCAATAATGTAAGATTCTCTACAGATGCCACTTCCAGAAGTCTAAGCTAGCGTATTGCACTGTTGTCATTCTCAATGACTCAAAAGTACTCAAAATAAAATGAATAAACTTCAAATAGGTGGCAAGGTCGATATGTGGTACTTCCTGGGACATATGCAATCGCGTTTGCATAGATTTTCAGTCTAGTTAGTGACGGATGTTAGAGTCTACCTTTTCATGTCAGGCCAGAACAATGCATTGAATTTCACACTGCTGATACGCTGAACAGGACTTTTTTTTAAATAAATACTGTTACATGTAGAAATTTAGTGTAGCTCATCTCTATTTATTGTCAAGCTAAACTTGCCTTGGCATTTAAAGATCCTCCTGTTATACTACGACTGTTGAGAACTATAGCAAAAAATAATATATATATATTTTATTTTGCACTGCAATGATTTGAATCTGTTCTGTTAATCTTTCTTAAGTGCTTATTTAAAGAGTGTAATAATGACCCAGTTAATGTGGAATTATTTGTTATGTAAAGTTGGTGGCTTAATACTAGTTCCTTAATACTTGTGCATGACGGACGGGGGTGGTTGTGTATTACTGGGAGTATTTTTGGATTCCTGTTATGTAATATTTTGGATTTTGAAAAGAGGTGCAGATCCCAATGTCTATAATGTAATCTTTGCAGACATCTTCTGGTAAGTACTTTATTATATTATACTATTCTGTACTATAGTGCAGTAAATCTGCTTTTGAAGCTACTGTACACAAAGGGTTCTAACTAACCAATATGTAAATGTCATATTAAATTGAAAGTTTAATCAAAAGCAATCATGCATTTATTGCTGGTTACCACGTTTCCATGTGTTGTATCTGAGCACTGCCCTCGCTAGAGAGTTGTGCTGTTGGCTGAAACTGCAAACCATCTCTTGCTCCTGGATCCTCATCCTCTTCTCTTCCAAAAACTGGGCATGTTTCTGACGCGTATGATGGATGTCCTGCTCCAGCTTGGCTCTCTGTAGAATGAGCGTTTTTTCCATATCCACCCTTTCCCGTTCCTGCCGCAGATGCACTTCTGTTCTGCGAGCCTCTCTAAAGATGTCTCGATGACCCTTGGCTACTTCACGGTCAATGTGGCGCTCAGTTACCTTCTCTGCAAGGTGTCTCTGCATTCTGGCTTTCTCAAATGCTTGGTGGGCTCTTTCAATGACTTTGAAGGGGGTGAAGCTGATTTTGTCATGGCAACAACCAATCAGACGCTGCCGTGAAGTAATGGCAGGTGACTGCGACTGAGTGTGAAAATGGCTGATGGCCTCACGGATGTCCTGTCCTGCAGCTTCATGGGACCACAACATGTCACTCAATGACTCACTCTGGTGGACCAAAGCTTTTAGTCCCAAAACATGAAAGGTTCCGTCTTCAATTTCTTCATTACAGGGACCAACAGTCACACTGATATCTAGACAAGCAAAACAGAAGCATTCAGTGAATCAAATCGGTCTCTTGGAGAGCTAACTAAAGCTAAAACTTCTGTTGTACCTTGGTCAAAAATGTTTAGATGGGCTTCAGATTTCAGACGAGGGGTGTTGCATGGTGCTTTTATGTGTTGTTGATTGTCATCTGATTTAACATTTGCAGCATCCTGTAAAACCTGTGTAGAAGTGACAAATGCATGACTAATAAAGAGTCTACATTTAGATACACTAAAAATAATTCAATGCACCTGTTACCACAAATGCATTGTTGCAAGTAAAAAAAAAAAATCTTATTAATTTATTTAATTAAACTTTTTAAGATGAGTTTTGTTGACAAAATAATGTTGATCATTACATTAACTTAATATTGTAGGTAAAGTAAACTTAAATTTCTGTGTTGATTGATTTTTTCAATTAAATACTTAAACTTTCTATCCATCAAAGAATCCTGAAAAAAGCAGCATTGTTTTTAACAATGATAATAAGAAATGTTTCTTAAGCACTAAATCAGCATATTAGAATGATTTCTGAAGGATCATGTGACACCGTAGACTGGAGTAATGATGCTGAAAATTCAGCTTTGCCATCACACATATTAAAATATATTAAGATATACAAAAGTTATTTTAAATTGTAATAATTTTTCACAATATTATTGTTTTGCTGTGTTTTTGATCCAATAAATGGTCAAATAAAACATTTTAAAAATGTTAATGAGCCCAAACTTTTGAATGGTAGTGTACATCAGTCAAATATAGTACATACTTGTTCAGGGTGGTCATCTGTGTCCTCTTTCATGGTTTTCTGAGACTGGGATTGTACCTGGTCATTTTCTGTCCTCAAAGGCATGGAAATGAATGGTTTCCCAGATGTTATCTGTTTCTTTGTACTGCAAAGCCTGACAATGAAGAATTCCTCTTAAAACCAGTTTCTCAACCCACTGAACAAAAATCCCAAATAATATCTTCATGATTGTTTTGTACTTTATAGTGAACAAAATAAGCATATAAAAACGTTGCATAGCAAATATCAAGATGAATATAAAAATGCAGCATATTTACCCAAGCCTTTTTCTAATTAAATGGCCTCGAATCCAGCGCTGTATAATAAGTGTAGGGGAATAAAAGGCCTGAATCCTGTTTATCTCAGAGATTATGTTATATGTCGCTTTCATCTCAGTCTCAAATGAATCCTGAGGAAGAAGAAAACATCAAAATATGTTTGTTTTTTTTGCACTTAGACATAACAGTAAACACAACAAACAAAGAAGACCAGGATAAATAATGAGCACTAACCAACTTTGTAGATGGGTACAAACTGACACAAAAGTGTTGTTTCATGGCTTTGAATCGAAAGGGAAGAGACCAGTTTTGAATGATTTCCTCATCAGAGATAACAAAGTTGTCCAAGGCCTTCAGTGACCATATGTTGTTGACCAGACAGTGCCTGTAGTTCTTCTTTAAACTGAGCGGGGTGTCATAGAGAGTTAAAGCAGTCAGGTTTAAACAGCCCAACAGGCCTTTAATATTGTTCCAGGTTGACATGTTGTTGTCGTGTAGATATAGAAGTTGCAATTCTTTCAGATGACTCCAACATGAAGCATCAGGGAGCTGAACGATCTGAGCAGAAAGATGATTGTTAGTGATTTGTTCTCCTTAAAGTGAATCAAATATTCAGGGAAGCAAATTAAATAAATACCTGATTTCCTTTCAGATCTAACTTCACCAAGTGAGTGCATTCCATCAGAGCTTCGATCCTGGTCAGAAAGTTGTCAGCCAAGATACAAATTCGCAGTGCTCTGCAAGATCCAATCTGATCCAGACTCTTTAAAAGCAAACTGCTCAATCTGACCATCAACATGTCCTCCAGATCTTTCTCACCCTCTGATGTCCAGTAGCCATGATCCAGTATCAGAGACCGAGAGCAGTTTACCAAATAGGCCCAGTATCCTTCCAGGGAATCCATTTTTATATCTTTGTGAAATGTATCTCTTCCATTTTCTGAAAGGAAACATTTTTCATATCACAAAAACATCCTGAGGCAGAATTATTATCAACACTACATGATTATTATAGTATTATTCCTAAAACATATGTGGACATATTTGCATGTTTCACTGAATTTAATCTGTTCAAATTCTCAATCTGCTCTTGAGTTTGTTCTTACCATGGTTTTGTGCCTGGCTCTCTTTTGTTGGCCGAATGATTCCAAGATAAAAGTTGCTATGACAACATCGTTTGGAAATACAAGAAGCTTCTCCTAACATTTTCTTGAAAACCATTCACACCACATTACAAATAAAACGGATATAGTTTTTTTTCGGGAGGCTGAATATTATAAGTAATTAATTCAGTTTAACGTAAATTAATTGATGGAGGCAGAGCGAGCAATCGAATACGGACGTCAGAGCTTGTTTGTCACGTGACTGGAACCCGGAAGTGCCAATGTAAACACAAGTTACGGGACATATTTTGTAATCTAAGGGGTTTAAGTGACTTTTTGAAAACGGCAAATAGCTGATCATTGTCGCACATAGTTCCGCACATGATGTCCTTTTGTTGATTCATATTTGTCGTTGAATAAAAGTGTCAGTTTTCTTGTAGTGATTTAGACAGATAGAGGACCTGCTGGTTCTCATAATGGCAGAGCGTTTAAACATACATCTGCAAAAATCCACCAAGGAGAAACTTGACAAATTCAAACAAATGAGAGGTAACGTTTCAATCTTTAAACTTTTCTATTTAAAATATACAACTGTTCGACTTGTATTGACTTTTTGTTGCTGAGAATATTCACTTGTGTGACATTGTTTGTTGCTCATGAGGGTTTTCTATAACTATAACAAGAGAAACAGATATTAATTTACCATCCACAGGTAAAGAAGTTCAGTCTGATGAATTCTGGGATCTTGTGGTCATTACTGCAGTGGATGAGGACCAGAAGTCTGCTTATGAAATTCAGATCACTGAGAAACTGGAGAGGAATGAACTGCCACTTGGCATCAATTATCATGTCTTTGCAGATCCTCCAGGATGCAAGATTGGTACGATATATAAAAATATGTTTTAAAAACTGTATTTCATGTACATTTTTAAGAACTGTTTCTTCATCTGACCATACAGGTAATGGTGGATCCACTTTACATTCACTACAGTGTCTACATGATAAATATGGCAAGTCACTGTCAGGATTTAAAGTCATCCTTATTCATGCAGGTACTATTTTAATCTATATAATATTCATCAAACCTCATTCATGCATTTTGTTGATTGTTAATTAGCCTTAATGTACCATTCTAAAGTTTGGGGTCGGTAAGATTTGTACATGTTTTTGAAAAAAATCTCTTATGCTTGCCAAGGCTGCATTTATTTGATCAGAAAAAAAAAAAAACAGTGACACATTATTACATTTCAAAATAATTATTTTTTGTTTGGATATATTTTAGAATATAATGTAAATGTAATTTGTTCCTGTGATGTCAAAGATACATTTTCAACATCATTACTCCAGTCTTCAGTGTCACATGATTCTTCAGAAATCATGATAATATGCTGATTTGGTGCTCAAGATACAATTTTTTTTTTACTAATTACCAATGTATGAAGACAGTTATGCTGCTTAATATTTTTGTGGAAACCTTTCTTTTTCGGGATTCTATGATGAATAGAAAGTTACAAAGAACAGCATTTATTTGAAATAGAAATCTTGGATATTTTGGTTTGTGCACTTTTATTAAAATGTACTTATTTATCTATGCATTTTGTTACATATGCAGGAGGATTCAGTCAGCGTTTGCCCAATGCCAGTGCCCTGGGTAAATTACTCACAGCTTTGCCCCTGGGAAACCCTTTATATCAAATGCTGGAGCTCAAGCTTGCAATGTATGTGGATTTCCCCTCACACATGAAGCCGGGAATGCTGGTTACCTGTGCTGATGATATTGAGCTCTACAGTGTTCCTGCCCAAGAGAACGTAGTGTTTGATAAGTCAGGTTTTACTGCCTTAGCACACCCCTCCCCTCTCTCTATTGGTACCACTCATGGAGTTTTTGTTCTAGAACCAGCAGAGACGCCCAGAATTTGTGACATGGAATACAGAACTTGCTCTCAATTTCTGCACAAACCAAGCATCGAAAAGATGTTCAAATGCAATGCCATATGCAAGAGGGAAGGAAAGGAGTTTGTTTACACTGACAGCACTTACTACTTTGATTATGGGACTTCTATGACCCTACTAACCTTGTTCAGTGAAATCAGCCCTCTGACATGTGAAATCGATGCTTATGGAGACTTTCTTCAAGCCCTGGGGCAAAGAGCTACTGTGGATTACACGGAAAACACTGCCAACGTCACAAAGAAGGAAAACGGTCTCATTGAGATTCGCAGAAAGATTTTCCATCGTCTCAAAGGCACGGCACTCAACGTCATCCTGTTGAACAACTCCAAGTTTTATCATGTCGGCACCACAGAGGAATACTTGTTCCACTTCACCGCTGACCCCTGTCTCAGAGCAGAACTCGGCCTGCTCTCTGCTGCCTTCAGTGTGTGCGACTTGGAGCGATCGGAGAAAACTCGAGTTTGCGTGACACACAGCATCCTGCATCCCAGTGTGACTGTATCCCAGGGCAGTGTTGTGGAATACTCCAGATTAGATGCTAGAGTTAAAGTCGGAAGTCGATCTATCATCAGCGGCTGCTGGATTGGCACAGATCTATCAGTGTCAAGTGACACCTTCATACACTCTTTGGCTGTAAACCTGGATGGAAAAACGGGTTTTGTGACTGTGGTTTTTGGTGTTCGAGATGATCTAAAGAAAAGTGTATCCAGTCCTGCTCATATGAAAGCATTGAGCTTGTTTGAGGTTAATCTGGAGGACTGTGTTGGACTCTGGGGTTTGTTTCCAGAGAAGGTCAGGTTCTCAGGAGACACAACTATGTGTAGTTTGTGGAACGCCTGCATTTTCCCAGTGTGCTCCAATTTAAAGGATTCATTCGTGATGTCACTGGGGATGCTGAAGGCACTGGATAGTGGAACCAATTTCACACTACTAAAAAATGCCACACTAACCTCTTTACAAGAAACTCTGCAGAACAAGAACCTAGAGGAAATGTTGAAATTTAGGAAAAAACTGTATGAAGACATTCTCAGGGTGAATTTAAGTAATTCGGTCTGAGCATGTGTGTGTAAATGATCAATAGTTTGATTGCATATACTGCCCGACAAAGGCAAAGCGCAGTAAGTATGAGACAGTGCCTTCAAAGTTGTTTTTACTAAATTGATTTGATATCAGTTTTCACACACCGTTTTCTCTAAATCTGAGCTTAGTTAAATCAAACCGTATGTCACAGGAGATATAGTCCAGATTTTAGTCATAACTCAGTTTTGACAACAGATTACTGCTTTTTGCCTTGTAGGGCAGTATAGCCATGTGACGAAAATCGTAAATTGGCCATAACAGACACTACAGAAATACCAAGATGGTGCACTCACATTACTATGAATGGGAGAAAGGGCTAACAAGCAATATGGCAAAATAAGTCCCGCCTTCTGAATAAAAGAGCCGATTGCCAGTTAGTAAAGTCAACATGTTAGTATTTGTTAGTATACATGCCAATTAGTATTTGTATGCCTATAATAATAATAATAATATAATAATACTATAGTATTATTCTGTAACACTAGTTGTCAGACTCTGTTCCATGTTTTGTCAGTGTCTTCTGAGGGACCTCCAGAGTGCCCACCCCCCCTCCCCATTGGATGTTATATGGCGTGAGGTCACGCCTTCCGGAGGGGGGGGTGGGGGGGTGGGGGTGTGTTTGTGTGTGTGAATAAAGTCTTGGTTAAGTATTCTCCAGCGTCTCCTCGTATGTGTGCAACGTGACACTAGTTCTCTTAACTGTTGTATCAAACCTAGTCAATTCAATGTTTTGTTTATTTTATTAAATTTGTGTTGGATCAGTTTAATTTTGTGTGTGCAGATTTATTCCTTCTATGTTTTAATAATTTATCTTGGAGCGTCTTCACAAAACACCAATCAAGGCATGAAGTCCAAAGTATATCGTGTGTAACCTCAAAAGGAGAGAGAGGAAAAGCCCTCAAACTTCCTAAAGAGAGAAAAAAAAAATCATATTAATCCATTTGATTGTGATACATTTTGTCAGGATTTTCTGATTAATATAAAGTTTATTTTATTTTTTTTAATTATTATTTTTTTTACATTTTACTGTCAATGGAATGCATCCTTGCCGGAAAGAATTAACTTCTTTCAAAAACTTCTTAAACAAACCAAAAAAATCTGACTGACCCCAAACGTTGAATGGTAGTGCATTTCTTTTATAGAACACAGAATCATCTATTTTAGACACATCCAAGTTCAGAGAGAAAAAGAGAGAAATACAGTTGAGTCTTGATGCAGCTGTTGTCTGAAGAGAAAAATCGACCGTGGCTTCACCCTGTAATTGGTACAGATCCTCAGAGAGGTCAGCTGTCATTGTTGTCACATGTTCCACACTGAGGCTGATGTATTTTTAGAAGGGGCTGTGATTCCTTATCGGACTCTTCCCTATTGTGCCAAACAAAGCATTGTGTTACCACTGCATGAGACTTTCCCTCCAGCTAACGGTGTACAAAAGTTTAAACCAACCAGTCTGATGGGGAATTATAAATCAAGACCCACTCAAACCTGTACAGGTAAACATTAAGCTTCTTCAGTTGGCTGTTTGATTCATTCGGTTCATTGGTTCGGTTGGTGTTAATATAAATAGATTAAGACTACAATATTTTCAGTCTTCCAGTCCTTGTTGACATATAGATTCTTTAATGACAGTGAGTAATGATTGTTCTGTATGTAAAATTGGATTATTGTGTCCATGTTGTGGTATTGATTCAATGTCGTTTTGCTTTAGATGAGTGGAAAAAGAAAGTGAGTGAGTCATATGCTGTTATAATTGAGAGATTGGAGGAAGACTTGAAAATTAAGGAGGAGGAGTTCAAAGAACTCAAGCATGTTTTCAGGTGAGACTGATTGGAACTAAGAGTTTTATTAGCCTCTTTTGTAGTGTACTATTATTAGTGTTTACAAATGTGGACTTCTATGTTAATAACACTACTGAGGAAAGTGAATGTGGAAATCTGTTTTATGTTTTATTTTTATACAGCTCAGATGAAGCATTCAATAAAGTGAATCTGAATTATCGCACAGAGGGTGGACTGTCCCTGCTGCATCTCTGCTGCATATGTGGAGGTAGATCTAAAACATGTTAAACGTTATCTGCTATAATGCAATGATATGTTAATTTTGAACATTATATATGATTCATTCCAATGTACTTATGTTGAGTCACTATCATTTCACTTTGAAATTATATTTAACTTACTTTGTGGGAGCGAATTTCCCCCTTTTGATTGACGATTCATTACCTTCAGTTGTTATGGTACTTTCATATAATTCAAGCTGTTTTCTTTTTTTTGCTACAAGGGAATAAAGCTCACATCAGGACGCTCATGCTGAAAGGTCTGCGTCCATCCAGACTTACCCGGAATGGATTCACTGCACTGCACCTGGCTGCATTCAAAGTCAGTCAAGGGTTAATAATCCCAAATACTGTGTGCTAGGAATCAATCATGTTAAAAATGTTTAAAAAAACAAATTGATGTGATAAGTGGTTATTTTTGTTTCTGTGATGTAGGGTAATGCTGAACTGGTCACTGCGCTGCTGCATGGTGGAGCAGATATCCAGCAGGTGGGGTACGGAGCCCTCACGGCACTACATATAGCTACTGTGGCCGCCCATCTTGAGGTGCGTGTTGGACCTGAAGATAAAGTATTTAAACCAGGTCATTCAGAAATTGTGATGGACTTCATATGAGCACATTTGAAAGACATATTCAAAAGGTTTTCCCTACTTTTCTTCAAGGTTGTTGATATTCTCTTGCAACACGGGGCATATGTTAACGTCCAAGATGCAGTGTTCTTCACCCCTCTGCACATTGCAGCTTACTTTGGCCATGAGCAGGTCAGTCTTTACTTCATATCATAAATGTCCAGGACTTCATAACAGCTTTTCTTGTGGAACAGGTATGCAAGCTCCTGATGAAATTTGAGGCTGATGTCAATGCAAGTGGAGAGGTAGGGGACAGATCGCTTCACCTGGCTGCAGCTAAAGGCTATCTGGGCATTGTCAAACTGCTGATGGGTGATGGCAGCAAAACTGATGGTGAGAGTTTTACTGTATCAGTATATCGACATTTAACTCTTTCCCCGCCAGCATTTTTGAAAAAAGTTGCCAGTCACCGCCAGCGATTTTGATGATTTTCAGTAAAATTGGATGGCCTCCAGTATATTTTGCTGTATGAATATTTGAATATGCAATACACCAAAATAAAGATTTTAAACAAAAAAAATCCATTTTATTCTAGGTTAAAGCTTAAAGCTTAAAGTTTTATCAACACTTGAATATAGGTAGGTTTCATAAAAAGGCATAATTTTGAGCAAAAAGGTGAGAAAAATCACATTTTTTATCAAAAACTACATCTAGATAATATTCAGTACGATTATCAAAGCATAAATCCAGTAAATCGCTTCCATCAACACCTCTAAAGCTTGCACAGACATATACCACTTCCTGGATTAACATTTTACTCCGTAACATTACGCAGTTTTCATTTATATGCTATCTATTGCTGATGATCGCATTATTTTTCATATGCATCTGTTTATGCTGGGTACACACCACAAGATAATTGGGCTGATTTTGGGCCGATTTCTCCCCTTCCTACAATCCTAGGTAATGTCCCGATTATCTTGGTGGTTCTAAAGATTATCCTATCAGATTTTCCTGTGGTGTGAGGTGTGTTAAGAGCGACTAAATCTGCTCGGAAGAACGTCGGAGGCGCCCCGATCGCGAATCGTAAATATTCAACATGTTGAATATTTACGATCAGAAATCCTGATGTGTGGGGGGAACATCACGGCACACCACACACTATAGGAGCAAAACGGTTAAATCTAGGATTTTTTGTCCTCATGTTTGTGGTCTCTCACATTTTGAAGATCTTATAAGATTTTAAAAATCTTTTAGTGTGTACTACCCAGCATTATCTGAACAGATTTGGAGAAATTTAGCATCTATTGCTCACCAATTGATCCTCTGCAGTGAATGGGTGCTGTCAGAATGAGAACACATCACAATAATCCACAAGTAATCCACACGACTACAGCCCCCATCAGTTAATGCCGTGTGAAGCGAAAAACTGCATGTTTGTAATAAACAAATCCATGATTTGAAGGTTTTTAACTTTAAACCATTGCTTCTGGTTTAAAAAATGAGTTCTCTATTGAAAGTATTTATACATTTCTTAAAAAGAAATACTAAATCTGTTCTGATGTAGAAACAATCTTAACTACATCTTTGATATGGCCTGAGGGTAAGTACATTTTCAACAGGTTGAAATTTTTGGGTGAACTATTCTTTTAAAGCCTATCTCTCCTATACAGTCAATGCTCAAGACAACGAGGACCATGTTCCCCTTCATTTCTGCTCTCGATTTGGACACCAAGAGGTTGTCCGTTTCCTTCTGCAGGGCACCTTTGACATACAGCCGCACTCTGTCAACATCTACGGTGACACACCTCTTCACCTGTGAGTTCACACACAACACAAGGTGGCAGTTAAACTCAACAAATCGCTAAAGTGGAATTAAATAATCTGGAATCTGGAGAGCGGTTATAGTGATTGTTGTTTGAGTCTCATATTTCCCATCAGAGCTTGCTACAATGGAAAGTTTGAAGTGTTGCAAGAGATTATTCAGTTGTCTGGCACAGAGAGTCTGTCTAAGGAGAACATCTTCAGTGAGACAGCTTTTCACAGGTAACGTTCCTCCTGACCACTTCCATTTGTTACATTTTCATTCATTTATGGGCATATATAGAAATGTGTATTCCTCCAATGACAGATTGGTTTAAGATACCTGCTGATATTGTTACGCACTAAATGAAGGTCTAATTGTACTCTGTAGTGCCTGCACCTATGGCAAGAACCTGGAAATGGTCAAGTATCTGCTCAGTCAGAATTCTGTGAGCATCAACCATCAGGGGCGAGATGGACACACAGGTATGATGACAGCAGTAATCTGGTTTACATCATAAATTATGACAATAATCCAGAAATATTCCTGCTCTCATCAACTGTAACTTGATATTTCAATGTTCTAAGACAGACGTTATATGAGTTATGATGATAGTCTGGTTGATCTTTGAAACAACAGGTCTGCATAGTGCCTGTTTCCATGGACACATCCGACTGGTCCAGTTTCTTTTGGACAACGGGGCAGATATGAATCTGGTGGCTTGTGACCCCAGCCGCTCCAGTGGGGAAAAGGATGAACAGACATGCTTAATGTGGGCCTATGAGAAAGGTTATTTTATATATTTATACATCTATAAAGGTTATCTCTCTCACATATTTAACACACACACACACACACATTACATTTTCTAACTCTAAAGGCTAAACATGTCTGAAAAAAGCCTTGCTTTTAAGATATGTGACTGACAAATATAAATTTTACTATATACATGTTATATGATCCA